TATCAGTTCTTACTTTTTATTTGACCATAAGAAATAAATAATTTTTAATCATTAAGAGTAAATTTTAATTCATAATTAATGATTTCATATGTTAGGGAGCAAATCTATAAAGTTAATGTTTTGCATGTGATTATTAATATCATCCTTTCAATATCAATAATTATTATCAACAAAGTCATTCATTAATATCTGGAAGAATATATATGTTTTTCAAATTTCTTTTCAATTTTAATTTTAGAAAGAAAAAAGAAAAAAGAAAAGGGGGAGAAAATTAGATTTTTTGCCATATATTTATAAACTCGCTATTTTACTAATGCTTTTGTAACTGAGTGAGATAACATCTACAAAAAATAGAGAGAAAATAAAATTATTTATATAGAATGCGGCAAAAAAATACACAAAATGATTTTAAAATAGAATTTTTTCACACAAAAATTAAATGCTGACTTTTAATTTTACTTTTAAGGTAGTAATTAAATCTCTACATTAAGTGCGTTAAATACGCCCTTTTACGTTCTCTGCTTACCTAAGCATAATGATCAAAATGGAAAACTAATTCTGGTGAGGTTTTTAGTAAAAATAAATTAGAATTACATATTGTGCTTAGGTTAGCTAAAATAGTAAATAAAACACATTGAGATAAATATGCTAAAATAAATAAATTTATAGTAGACAAAATTTTAAATAAAAATTACCTTTAAAGGCAAAAAGTTAAGTGTGCAGAAGTAGCGAATAGCGAGTGTGTTCAAAATGTAAACTAACAAATTTGAATATGAATTTTTAATTTTCAGATGCGAAATTTCTCATTTAAAATTATAAATTTAAGATGTGAAATAAACGCAAATATTGTACAAATTGAAAGTGAATTAAAAACGTAAAAAAACTTTCAAAAATGTCACAAAAGTTACGAGAAGGAGGAGAGAGAGAGAGAAAAAAAGGAAAAAGTAAAGTAATAAATAAAAAATGATGAACAGAAAGCGAGAAATGAAATGGACAAATTAATTTTAATTAAAATAACAAAATAAAGCTATTTTAAATTGTGATTCTCATTGCAGAATGATGATTCATTGATAATGAAGATCGTTATAATTATTAAATTATAGTCCTTTAAATTTAATTTTCATTCATTGATTTTATTTCCTATATTTTTAAATCAATTTTGATCTATTTTCTAAGCAATGATAACTTTGCTGCTTCGCCTGTTTAAAATTTTCTTCGACATTTAACACTATTTCAAACGACAAGAATTTCCATGCATTAAATCTATCTTCTAAATCACAGGGAGAAAAAAAAAGGAAGCAATAAATAATTTCATTTAAGTGCATTATTCATCAACAGCAATATTCAAATAACACCAAAAAAAATTCAAGCTGTTAAACTAAAACATTTTAACAAATTTAACAAAAACAAAAAAAAAAAATTGTTAAAAATTCAAAAGTTCTACTTACTTTTTTTTTTTGAAAAAATGAATATTGGAATTATTATTATAGCTATCATCATTCATATCAGTGTCATTAATCAGTGTAATTACAATTACTTCTATCATCATCATCATCATCATAAAAAGGTGAATGAGAAAAAATGCAAAAAAAAAAATCAAACCCAATCCAAAATTACTTTCTACGTGAATGCAAACGACGTTACATTTGTTGTTGTTGTTGCTGCTGCTGCTGTTGCTGTTGATGATGGTGATGATTATGATGATGATAATAATTATTAGCTTTAAATAAGACAGAATCTTTTCCTAATAAATCAGGCACTGTAGATTTTGACGATGATACCAATGCTGTCATTTAAGATGTTATTGCTGATGAGAATGATGATGACTGTGATGGTGATAATGATGATGATGATGATGATGATGATGATGACGATGATGATAATGATGGTGATAGAGGATCACGAATATTAGCAGCATTATAACGATTTGTTATAGCATTATTACCGACAAATGCTGCTGTCCAAACTGTTATTGCTGTTGAAGCTTTATTTTGATAAAGCATTTACGAAATATTTCCTTTTTTTTTTAATTTTTCTCGAAAATTACTTATCAAAGAAAAAAATGAAGAGAAAATAAAGTAAGCGAAATTTGCATCTGAATTATGAAATATTCAAAGAGAAGAAATGTTCTATTTCAATTTTTCCAAAATACACGACAGTATGCTTATAGAAAAGGAATGAAGGAAAAAATTAAACGAGAAAATTTAAGGGCTAAAATAATTTTAATACTTGAATGAAATTTTCAATTGATTTTAGGAAAAGAAGAAATAAATAAATAATTGTGGAAAGAAAGAGAGAGATAGAGAAATTGTAAATAATCGATATGTTTAATATTGTATAACAATTGATCAATATTCCATGATTAAATCCAATCATTATTTCATACTTTCCTATTGTATGAGTATATATGATTGCAAGAAAAAAGATGCGTTTAAACAAAAAAAAAATATTACTAATAACAATAATTGTTGGTTACTGTTACAGTAACAGAAATATAATAGTAGTAATTGTAGTAAAAATGATTAATCAGTAAATATTATAGTCTTAATAGTTATTATAATAATTATAGCATATACTGCAGTGATAATAGTTAAAACGATGATAGCACAATTTGTAAATGTAGTTGATTGTAATGACGGTATATCCTTTTGTTATGTATTGTATGTGTATGTTTGAATGAATTGAACAAATTTCAAGGTCATGAAATGATCCAATCTTGTCACTCATTTAGCTCTTTAAAAAAAAAAAAAAAAAAAGAAGAAAGAGAAAAAAAGGAAGAAAGAAATGAAGAATAGGAAAAAAAGAATGAAAATGGGTGAAATATCGGGCGATAAGATGAATGAAAACAGATTGAATGTATTTGATTGTTCAAAATAAAAGAAAGGATGGAGCGGAAAAAAAAAATTGGCGAAAGGATAAAGAAATTTAAATTCTAATTCAAATTTGAGTTTATCAAAAAAGAAGCGAGAATCATCTTCCCATTCATCCTTCTTTATTTATTTCTAATAATTATTCTACCATCATTTTATATACATTTAAAAAAAAAAAAATAAAATAAAATAATTTCGAATATCTTCAAGTGATAGTAACAGAATGAATAAATAAATGGATGGATGAAAATTGAATGAAATAATTCTAATGTAAATTGTACCGTCACAAAGCCTAATTGAAAAATATTTGTTCGTTTGAAAAAAAAAAATTAAAGGGAAAAAAAATAGAAAAAGAAAGCAGAATCTTCAAAAATATAGATGCTTTGAAAAAAAAAACAGAAAAAACAAATCTATTCAATCTTTTTTTTAAGTTAAGTGAAAGAAATTGTTGATTAAATATTGATCGTTCGTAATTTTATCTAAAACTTCCTTCTTTGATGTCAAAAAATTATTATACATACATTTGTATCGATTATCAGATTTAAAACATGCTATTTTATTTAAATGTTGAAATTATAATCTAAAATAATTTTGTCATTTCGTATTAATACAGTAGAAAAAAAAAAGAAAAAAAGTTTCCAATGTTTTAGAAACATTGGAAACTTTTTTCCTTTTTTTTGTAATTAACTGTAAATTATTTCTTTGCTTTTAACTCCTAAAAAAGTTATATAAGACATAAATGTTCGGAAGACGTAAAATTGACGGATAACAACGTGGTGAACTTATGCAAACGTGAATGTGAATTCTGATCAATCCATACGTCTGGAAATTGATTAAAGTCTTGAATGATATACCGAAAAAATTATCACATCGATCGAATCAAAATGTGGTTATCGTTTACGTCAACTAAATTTGATATCCTAAGTGATCAAAGGTGAATGTTTTTTACCGAATTTATATTATTAGCAATTTCAAAGACAAAAATGCATACATAATGAATTGGAAAATTATAGCCATAATATAAATTCCAAATAACACAATTAAAAAGTTCACGAATTAGAGAAAAGTTGAAACTGAAAATAAAACTATGATATGATTTGCTTATATAAAACAAAACATGATTTATTTCCTAAAAAAATTTAGAACTTCGATGAATCACAAATGTGAAGTGTTCAAATTAAGTGAAAAAGGACGTAATGAATGAATCATAAGGAATGATAATTGAATAACATTACGATGATAAGTCAATGATAATTCAATAACATCACGATGAGCAGTGAATAACATCACAATGATAAATGAATAATATCACAATGATAAGCGAATAACATCACGATGATGATGAAGTGCATATACATGTGTTTAGTCAAGATTTTTTTTTTTCATGAACTTTGCTATTCAATAAATTTCACGCATAGGAAAAGTGTTATGAATAAAAAAGAAAAATGATGAAAGATAAAATAACCAAAGTTCCGTTCTTAAATCACAATACTTACTAATTTCATTTTTTTTTTATTTAAAAAATTTCATTTAAAATATTTCTAATCTAACATATCTATCTTCTTCGTAATTTCCATTTTAAACATTTTCATAAATTTAGGGATTCCCTAAATTCCTTGCCATTTCGTATATATTTAAATATTTTCATCGATTTGTGAGAACTGGAATTTTCCGATTATTTCTTCCTTTTTCTTTTTTTGGCACAACAAATTTTACCAATCTTTTCATTTTCAAATTTTTCCTTTCAAATTATTTTTAACCAAATATACATTTTCAATTTTTTTTTTTTTTGGACATATTTTCACTATTATTTTGCATGTATTTGGACCATTTTACAGATTTAAAGAGATTAGCATTCCGAATTTCTCTTTCTTTCTTTTTTTTTTTTTTTGTTCTTTTCCACATACGGATTTTACCAGTCTTGCTCATCTTCAAATTTTTTTGTTGAGAAAGAAAAAAGTTTCGTTTTTTTTTCAAGTCATTTTCAACCAAAAATATATTTTCATTTTTTTTTCATTCGTATGCATTCAAATATTTTCATAGACTTTTGGAATTAAAATGTATTCGATCCAGAAATTTAAAAAGAAGAAGGAACCTCATTTTATTTGTTTGAATATAAAAATTTTTCTAAATTGTTTGAGGATTTCTTCTTTTTGTATATTGTCCTCTTGCTATATGCTATATTTATATGCTTTTAATGTTTCAAAGAATTTTCAAATTTTGTGAACAAAAAAAAGAACAGAAAATATATACTAAAAGGTACAATTTGCATTTGATAATTGATTAGTAATTTGATAATTAAATTTTATAATTTCAATGAGTATTATAAAATTGATGAAAATGGATGTAAAGGGAGAAATGAAATAATATGATGTTGGATGAATGGATATTATATGGATGAATTAGAAGGTACAAAATGACCTCAAGTTAGATGATTAATAGTTTCGAAGAAAAATATTAATTGATTTTTCTATATTTTAATTTCAATGATAGCAAATTGTAGCTTTTATCCCCATTAAATTCAGTTATTATATCATTATGCTGATATTCATTATTACTGTTATCACTATTATCATAATAAGGTAATAATAACAACAATATTAGTAATAATAATTTTATTTTTCAAACATTAAATAGTTCAAATCACTTATCATTCTTGTTACACTATGTCAATATATTTTCATTTAATTCTAATAATGAATAATGAAACATTTATTAAATTTAAATACTGAAAAAATTTGATCATTTTTTATCATTATGAATTATCACTGTGTTTTGCATTATTAAACAAAGTGAGTCATTACTTACATAAATTTACCATCAATCTTCTATTCAATCATCGAAAAAAATAAAGTAATGAAATATGAGATATCGAGGAAATGATAAAAATAAAATGAGAAAAAAGAAAAATCAAAGAAAAAAAAAGGACGGAACGAATAATCAAGAATAGTCAGTGTCAAGAAATGAATAATCATTATCAATATTTAACTTAGGACTAGGTAAACAATTAAGCAATTATAGCTAGTTTTTTAATATTTAAACAAAAATTCAGGTAATTTATTGCAAAATGAGAGAAAAAAAAACAGGAGTGGAGGAAAAAAAAAACAGGATGGAAACAATAAATTAAATTAGCGATTTTGTTTTCTCTCTCTTTCTTTTTTTCGCCCAAATAAAAATAAAAATAAAATTGGAAATAAAGATTAATTGAAAAAAAAGTTGACGAGAAAAACAAAAACAAAAATATGGATAAGATTGAATGGAAACGGAAAGTTAATGGATTGAATGGAATAAAATATGACATCATGCTAATGACGTATTACAGTAGTGATAATGATGATAATGATAATAATTTTGAGGATAAAATCGAGTTGACTGATATAATTTGGAACAGAGCATCTGGCATACTATTATGATATCACACTCCTCCCTACTTCTTTCATCTCCCAGAAAATAACGATAAATAACAATAATGGGATATTTATACTATATGTAATCATCTTTCTTCCTTCTTTCCTTTTCCCTCTCTTTCTCTCTTTCCCTTTCTCTCTGTCCATCTTTTTCTCTCTTTTCCATTGATTTAATATTTCAAATTTAAAGTTTAAACAAAAAAATTTCCATTCCAACAAATTTTCATCAATATTAAGCGTCCATTTAAAAACAAAAAGATAGTATTTATTTTGACATATTTTGTTTTTTAGGTAAGGAAGCAAAATACTCTATAAAATTTCCTATATAACAAATTTCGAAATTTCAATTTTATGCAAAAATGCTGAATTTCGAAAATTTCTCTCCTATCATATAACTGAATGATTTTCTAATTTTGTATTCAGGCATAATTTAACCAATTAATTTTAACTTTCAGGCAGAAATTCTTTTTTTTTTTATTATTATTCTTTCATAATAACATAATTGACTTTTCATTTTATAAATTTAAATGCTGTCTAAAAATACAGCGGCAAGTAATTTTCAATTAAAGAATTTCAATTATCACATTTATTTAATCCAACCTGATTTCATTTATATTAACCAACGAACTGTTGCAGTTAAAATTGA